CCCGCCTTCCGAGCTCCCAAGCACTGAGAATTCTCCGCACCGTTCTTCTTTTGAAGGGACGTTCTTTTGCATTGCGTCAGGGCGGTTGCCTGGCGACCACAGAGCTATTCTGCCGCCAGCCTCTCGGCGCCGCCGCCCGCCTCCCATTCAAGCCGGGCAGGTTGGCCGCCCAGCACCGCTGGTCCGAGCGTGCCCGGGTCCCCCCTATTCTCCCTCCCTGTGCAGGGCCCAGTCCAGCTAGGCGTTCTGGAAAAACCTCAGACGAAATCAAACCCAAACATTCATTTTTCCCCCATCAAGACCAAACCCAAGAGAGTTGTGTCCCGTCTCGCTTATCCCCCTCACCCCCACCCCCAAGCATGGCAACGTGGCTTTGCCACTGTCAGCAGTTCACTGAGGGAGTGGGCAGGGAAACCCGGCTGCACTCCACCCACAAAAGGCTTGGGTTCTTGATCCCAGCAGCAGCCACCAAAGCCAGACCAACTGCCGCTGGTTCACACATGTCACACCATCACAGGACTCTTGCTGGGTGGGCATTTGTGGGCAGCTCTGGCTTAACTCTCAAATGGGGAAACCGAGTCCAAGGATGTTAAGGGGAAAGAGCTGTGGGTAGTGCCGGTGGGTCTGACATTTGCCCCATTAACCACCTGCACCTCATTCTCTCTCTTGAGTCATGTTGGTGTGGTTTTAAGGGGATGAATCTTGCCCTTTCCTGCTGGCTATAGAAGCACTTTAGGTATGACCTTCAATTCCCGACATACCCCTCCCCACTCCCCACTGTGTCTGCACTCTGGGAGGACTGGGTTATGAGTGTGGACAGCGGAATGAAGACTACCAAGTAGCTAGTTAGCTAGGTGCCACATCTGTCACGGAAGTGTGCCTTGTATGTCAGCTAATGTGATGGCAGAGAGGTGTTAGAGGACTTGTTTGAGCTCAGTGTAGGCTGAGAGCCTCATGGAAGAAGTAGCCTATCAGTGGTCTGCTGCATATTCTTTTTTTTTTTTTTTTTTTTTGTGTGGAGAAGAAGGGATGTTGCACATAGAGACAAGGAAGATAATAGATAAAAGCCACCTCCCTGGGGATAAACCTGGGGCTAGAAGCCAAGGGCCTTCATTGTCCAGGTCACTACTCATTGCAAATCACTGTGTCATTCTGGAATGTCACTAGAGCCCCTCTTCTCACCTATTAGAAGCCAGAAACCTCTGTGACTTGTATACATGACCCTGGGGTAGAAGTAGATCCCTCCTGCAACAAACAAGCAGGACCTGGAACTTAACTTCCACAGCTATCTTTGAGGATCACCCTTTCATATTAGCCATTTGTATCTACAGTGAGGCAACCAGGAGAAACTCCACCCTTTACTTTTGAGGTTTTAAAATCAAAACACAAAATGTCCCGCCTCTCAACCTTTTCCTGGATTGGCTTTCCACCCATCCAATAAAGACATATTAATATCTTGTAAATACCAGACCTTGCTTTTGGCTTGTAAGGGCCACCTTATATAAAAGATCTTGACCTTGCTAGGCTACTGAGGTGAGTGCTGACACCCCTCTCCTCTCCAGAGGGCAATTAGAATGCCAAGTCCTGGGCCAGAGTCTATCAGCTTCTGCCAGCTGCTCCTGGAAGAGACTTTCCCCACCAAATGATACTGTGGCTTTCAAGAGGAGCCAGGAGATGGTTGTCATTGGTGCATTCCTCCTTATCTCTCAGAGTGATCTGTTTAGCAACAAGGCAGGCTCCTATCCTGTAGGGAGCCCATTAGGTCCACTTAGAGACCAGTAATCCTAGGCATGGTGCACACAACTTGTTACTAGGGAGATAATTGACCAAACATTCACTTTGTTGCTGGGTCAGAAAAGGGACAGAGACCTTCCTAGCCCAGGTAAGCAGGTGGGTGGGTGTGGGCTAAGGGAGGCTTCACGGAGTGCTGGGGGTGGAATAGAGAACTGGAGAGAAAGAATAACCTAATTACACACAGAAGAAGTCCAGTTTGACTGAGGTCAGGGTATAGGTGTCAGGGGCTGAGCTGTGGTTTGTGGCACAGTCACCAGGACAGTGGGATTAAGAAGGGGGGTCACAGCTTTTGTTTTAGGGGTAGTGAGACAGGAGGCCTGTGATCAGGTGATTTTTCTCTTCAGAGGAGGAAGGAAGCAAAGGACATACAAGGTTCTGTTGGGGATGAAGACAGCATCAGCTTTGTTTTTCCCCAATTGAAGATGCCAACAGGGTAGCAGTGAGGAGGGATCAACAAGGATTCAGGAGTTAGGAGCCCCTGGGTCAAGTCTTGGGCCTGTTGGTGTTTGGTGTGTGGGAAGCAGTCACCAAGGTCCTTTGATACGTTGTGACTTTGTGGGTGAATGGAAATGATTTCCTTCATGTTGATTTGTGGGTAAGAGAACTCCCAGAATACACATGGTAGCACTATCCTGGGCCAGCTCCAGATCAAGTGGCTGCAGGCTCAAGAGGTGCCTCTCACAGCCCCCACCTCCTTTTTGCTCTACTCTCTGGGTAGTAGGATCCAGGAAGTTCCTGGGGAAACAGTTGTGTTTGTGACTGGGAAGATGGCTCAGTCTGTAATGTGCTTGCCTTGAAAGAAGGAACTCATGGGTTCAAACACCAGAACCTGTAAAATAAACAAACAAAAAACAAAAACAGAAACGTGTGTGTGTGTGTGTGTGTGTGTTTGGCTATTCCCCTGTGTTGCCTCTTATCTGGTTTCTAAAGACTCAGATGGAGCCTGAAAAACAAAACTGGGGAGTTCCTTTGCCCAATTTAAGTCCCCAGATTGGGAAAAGAGAGAAGAGAGAGTTTGCCTTATTTCCCCTGTCCCTCTGAGTTCCATGGTCTGAGACTAAATGGACCCCACAAAATGTGAAATCAGAGCCTGGCCTTTGAGGTTCTTATGAATGTATATTTGTCAAGGCAGGAGGGAAGAACAAACCTTATTTCAAAGTTTATTAGTTTGATTTATAATGTTCAAATATTTAGACACATGGCACGTGGGCCTCCTTCATTGCATTTGCTTTGGGCCTCTCAAATGTCAGGGGTAGGCGAGATTCCAGCCTGTGTTGCTGGTTTATTTAAGGAACAGATGACAAAGCAAGCACCCTGTGCACAAGCCCAGGCTGTCACTATCCTCCCTTCCATCTCTACAGTGGCCTCTGGGAGCTTGTTCTTTTCTCCTGTGAACCCTTGTAAGAATGGAAGTTGAGCCAGAGACCGCTGGGCATTGGCAGCGCATGCCTTTAATCCCAGCACTTGGGAGGCAGAGGCAGGCAGATCTCTGTGAGTTCGAGACCAGCCTGGTCTGCAAGAGCTAGTTCCAGGACAGCCTCCAAAAGCTGTCTTGACCCCCCCCCAAAAAAAAAAAGAATGGAAGAGAATGGAAGTTGAGAAAGTGTTTCCAGGTCTGGTACTGGCAACTGCATAGAGCTCTCCCCAGCAGATACAACATTAGAAAGAGATCAGCAGTCACTGCTACCAATGGTGCTGTTCAGCCTTGATGGTCAGGGGAAGCCTTCCAGCATAATTAATCCTGGGAAGTAACCAAGAGATCCAGATTCCAGTCTCAACACTGTCACTAATTAGGTTAGTCCTTTTTGCATCTAGAACAATTGATTTCTACTCTGGCCTCCTCTGACCCCAGTTCTGTGATACTCAGCACCCACTGCCTAGGATCCATCACCTTCATAGTGGCAGGAAGTGGTGCTGAAAACCCACACAGCAGGATGCTTTTGATGGACAGTGCAAAACAAGAGTCCAAGAGGTCTGATGAAGAGAAACAGTGTGGTGAGGGCCACACGAGCATTTGATTTGAGACACCACGGAGCAAGGCAGGAGGTAGGACTGGGAAAGTCTGCACATGGTAGTTACTGTCTTCATCTCGGTGACCAAATCCCAAGAGAACTTTAGGGAGGAAGGATTTATCTGGACTCCTGATTTAGAGAATTACAGTCCATCATGGTGGAAAGGCATAGTACCAAGAGTGGGCCAGTCAGAGGCGGTATCAAGAGCTTATAGCATTGACTTCTGGAGTGGTGGGAACAAGGAGGTCATGAGCTTAGACCTGAACTGGAGCTGGGTTATTGTCAGTGACCATACAAGGGGACCAACAGGCAGCACTGGAACTCATAGAACACAGCTGGATGATTGGCTCACCTGAGCGAGCCTTGGAGAGGCAAAGCCCCAAGGACTGTGTGTCCTGACAACCTCATACTGTTATTGAGCATAGCTCTGACTGTTGTCTTCACAGTCCCCACATCCCTCATAATCTATGGGTTGTGTGAAAACTCTCAGGAGGTTTCTAGCCCCTCACTGGGCAGTGTTACTGGTACTTACAATAATAGAGATTGACTTTTTCTAAGCATTGATGCTGGAGAAGATTAATGATTCAACCACCACCCTCAGAAAGAATGTAGAGGTGTAGAATTGTACAGTTAGGTTAAGGTGTTTTTGTTAATGGCTTTGAGGTAGAAAATCTTGAGGAACAATTTAAAGTTTAGAAAGGCACATAGCTGTTTGAGGGACTTATTGAGATCAAGAAGCAAGAACAAAGGCAGCCTTGCTATTGCTAGCTGGCATACCTTTCTTGCTAGGATGGGTTGTTGGTGAAAGGTGATAATTAATTCCTTGTACCCATTTTTGCCCTCAGCTTCCTGGTGTAAAAAATTGTACAGTGGTTATGCACCCTGAGGATTTAAAGTAGAGCTGACTGATTTTTTTCATATGTAAAACTTTAGATTTGTGATTTTTTAAAGATTTCTTATAAACTTACCTTTTGAGATAAATAATAAAGTAATCGATCCTTTCTTTGTAACTGCAAAATGCAGCCTGCCACCAAAAGAACTGGCCGAGAAAAATGCCATGCTTGCTTACACTCTGTTAATCTATAACAAGTTGTTTGGGTCTGAATGTATGTGAGGTCTTGGGACAACTCATTTTTCACCTGTAATATGTAAACTGTTTAATCATGTAAGGGATATGGAAAACATGCTGGGTTTTTTTTTTTACTTGTATTTATTGTAATCATTCACTTAAAAATAGAATGTAACCACATTGTAATTTTTATGCTGCTTGAAAGATTTTGCTGGGGTATATATAATAAGATTTTTCTGAGATATATAGGAAGATTTTGCTGGGGAAAAATAGATACAAGAGAAGGAAAACACCGGGAAAGATGTAGAAGGAAAGTTAGAAGGAAGACATCAAGAGAGACACAGATGGGATACATCAAAGTAGAAGAATAAAACAGAAGAATAACAGAGTAAAGCAACCAACAGGAAGAATAATGAAGCTTTGGTCCCCACAAAAGTCCTTGTGTGTCTGTTTGTCTGTTCAGTAGTTCACCTCTTCCGCATCTCCTCTTCAGTTTCTCTGACCTGCTGAAGGTGCCCTAGGTAAGATCCTGACATGCTGGAAAGTGTGTGTGTGTGTGTGTGTGTGTGTGTGTGTGTGTGTGTGTGTTTCCCTTTTTTTTTTTACCGGCCCCAAGAGTGTTAAGTTTAGCCTCCCTCACTGGCCCCAGAGAATTAAGTTTTACTCTTCCAGACAGAGAAGTCAAGTTGAGTGATTTATTCGCTGACTGTGTGGATCCCCCTCAATCCCTGAGCTGCTGAAGGAAGGCTGGTCCTCACAGCAGCAATAGGTTATTATTCTCAAAGCCTGTCCATAGCAGACTAGCTCCAAAGGCCATCCAAGTAGTCAACATTCCCAGCCTCATCAGCCAGGGACCAAGTCAATTCACATTTAAACCCAAACATTGCTTGTCCAGTGCAGTGATTTAAGCTCACAGTCAGATAACCTACACAAGCAGGAAGAAGTCTAGAGCCTACAGTAGGACACTGCCTCTATGCAATCCAGGCCAGGGGGGACCAGTGATTTCTCAGTTCCACTGCCTTCCTTCCACAGAGCCAGCAGCTGATTAGTGCTGGCAGGTACAGGCCTGAAGAGTTGATTTCATCAGTCAATCCCCAATAATGGGTTTGAGGTGGGTGAGGGGAGAAATTGTTGCCTAATATGATGGATCAACCTAATCATTCTGTCACCAAGAAAATCTAGACATCAGCAGGGGATTCAGAGTTGGGTGGAGACCAGGTGGTAAGAGATGTGGAGTGTTTGCCCATATCATGTAGAGCAGGAGGAAGTCCGGGGGGAAAGGTTCTGTGCATCCTCATTTTCAACCCTGAGTTTTGGGGAGGGTGTCCTAGGAGTTCTGGTCCTGCCTGTGGAGATAGCTACCCCACTCTGCCTCTGCACCTGCCTCTTGCAAATGGGCTGCTTTGGGCAAACCTGTCAGCTTCTATACCTCAGTATCTACATCTAAACACCAAGGCTGCCTGTCTTCTGTTAATCATAGGGTGTGAGAATTAGAATCAGTGGTTAGAAATGCTCAGTGTATTGGTTAACTGGATGCAGGAAAACACTAATAGTGTTCTTTATCTTGTCTGCCATGAAGGCCACCTGAGAAGGGGTGTAGATTTTTCCCAGTCTAGGTTAATGTCTAACAACCAAATACTCCCTTAGCTGGCAGAGTGGAGAATGTCTTAGCGGTCTTTTTGTCCAGGCCTGAGGCTGGCTTGTTTTGGATCTGACATAACAGTATAGAATGAGGTGCCAACAGACATGCCACAGTTTTGGAGTGTAGAACATGAAGCTCTTCCTGGCTAAGAATGCAGCAGCAGATAGTCTATCAAGGATCAGCTACCATTTCACTGACTCACAGTAAGGAGCCTGCCTTTGTTTCTGCTTCACAGAGACCTGAAGTCATAAAAGTGGATCAAGGGAGCCAGACACACAGGGATGGGCTTGTTTATCATCCTGGAGACTACAGAGAAACTTAGAAGCACAAAGAGTCACTTTAGCAGGGGCCGTCAAGAGCCACCTCCAGCTAATGTTCCAGTCCAGCACAAAGTCAGCCTTCCTTGCAGATGGTCCTTCTGGAAGGGGTCAGAAAAAGTGAGGAAGAGGAGGAAAGAGAGGGGAAAGAGATGGGGAAGGCCCCCTTTACAGTGTCTTCCCTGTAAGATCTCACCATTCTCCCCCATCCTGACCTCAGTTTCTCCAGACACTTCTGTGGACATTTCTGCACTCATACACAAATATGCTCATGTATGGAAGGGGTTGGATTGTCTTTGAAGCTTTCCAAGGGTGAAAAAACAAAATGTTGCCAATGCCTCTGTGTGATGGTAAACACTCCTCTCAGCTCCTACTCTCCCCAAGCAGCCGCCCCAGCCCTAGAGCCCAACCGTGTTAAGTGCTCAAGTCTATGGAGAGCTCAGAGTCTGCAAAATTAGGCTGGAACAAACAACAAACATAAACACAAAAAAACAGGCAGTGGCTAAGATTAAAGCACATGTTCTGGGAATGGAGATGTGGCTGAACCATTAAGAGTGTGTACTGCTCTTACAGAGGACCTGTTTTGAGTTCTTATAGTTGATGGAGGGAGATTTACAACCAACCTCTGGGGACTCTGATGCCCTCCTATGGCCTCTGAGGTATGTAAATCTTGTGCACAATTTTTACCATACACGCGCGCGCAAGCGCGCGTGCGCGCGCACACACACACACACACACACACACACACACACACACACACACCTACCTTAAAATAACAAATTAAAGTTCTTTAAAACTCTTGTTTTGAGTCTCCTTCTCCAAAAGGCTTCTTGTCCTTATTTGTGCATCCCGCTCATAACCAAACATACTCACATGAATGCATCCATAGTCAGCTGTGTGACTGGACTCTACAAATCTAGTCAGATGTTACTATTTGCAGATCATACACACACACACACACACACACACACACACACACACACACACTGCTGACCCTGGAGGACCTGCTTTGCCTATCACCCAGGACAAGTTGCTACTGTGACACATCCCTATGATCATTCATCTCTCATCTGCCTTCTTGGGATATTTCAAGTTCTGTGGATTTGGGGATGGTGGTGTATTCACTTGTGTTCTGGAATGTTCTTGGGTCCCAGCACAGGGTTGGAATGCAAAAGATGCTGTATAGGTGAACTGGTGCATGAATAGTATGTATTCTTATCACCTGTCTCTATTTTCCTCCATTAAAGAAGGCATGGATGGCTCTCTGCTCCTCTCTATTCCAGAAACATCCATGACTTCTCATGAAGTACCAGCCTCATGCTTGACACACAATGATGAAGGTTGGAATGAATAGATTTGACTGAATTGGGCACCTGATTACCAGGGCTTCCTTCAACTCTGGAAAAGTGGACATTGTTGCCATCACTTACCCCTTCATTGACCTCAATTACATGGTCTATATGTTCTAGTGTAACTCTACTCACAGTCAAGCTCAATGGCACAATCAAGGCTGAGAATGGGAAGCTTGTCATCAATGGGAAGGCCATCACCATCTTCCAGGAGTAAGATACCACAGACATCAAATGGTGTGATGCTGGTGCCCAGGATGTTGTGAAGTCTGGTGTCTTCACCACCGTGGAGAAGGCTGGGGCCCACTTGAAGGGTAGGGCATAAAGGATCAACATCTCTGCCCCTACTGCTGATTCCCCCATGCTTGTGATGGGTGTGAACCATGGGAAGTGTCACAATTCACTTAAGATTGTCAACAATGTTCCCTGTACTACCAACTGCTTAGCCCCCTGGCCAAGGTCATCCATGACAATTGTAGTATTGTAGTATTGTAGAGTGCCTCATGCCCACAGTCTGTGTCATCACTTCCACCTAGAAGACTGTGAATGGCCCCTCTGGGAAGCTGTAGTGTGATAGCCATGGGGCTGCCCAGAACCAGTGCTGCCAAGGCTGTGGGCAAGGTCATCCCTGAGCTGAACAGGAAGCTCCCAGGCATGGCCTTCCCTGTTCATACCCCAAGTGTGTCTGTTATGGATCGGACATGCCACCTGGAGAAAGCTACCAAGTATGATGACATCAAGAAGGTGATGAAGCAGACATCCAAGGGCTCACTGAAGGGCATCCTGGCCTATACTGAGGACTAGGTTGTCTCCTGAAACTTTAAATGTGATACCTACTCTTTCGTCTTTGATGCTGGAGCTGGCATTGCTCTCAATGACAACTTTGTAAAATGCATTTCCTGGTATGACAATGGATTGCTATAGCAACAAGGTAGTGGACCTCATGGTCTCTATGGCCTCCACGGAGTAACAAGTCTTGAACCATCCACCCCAGAAAGAACATGAGAGCGATGAGAAACCCTCAGCTGCTGAGGAGTCTGTCTTTGTTAGGGTTCTTCTGCTGTGAAGAGACACCATGACCTCAGCAACTCTTATAAAGAAAATATTTTTAAAAAAAAGAAGAAGAAGAAGAAGGAGGAGGAGGAGGAGGAGGAGGAGGAGGAGAAGGAGAAGAAGAAGAAAAGAAAGCTGGGTGTTGGTGGCACACACCTTTAATCCCAGCAGAGGTGTGTGGGGAGGCAGAGGCAGGCGGATCTCTGTGAGTTCGAGGCTAGCCTGGTCTCCAGAGCAAGTCTCTCCAAAGCTACACAGAGAAACCTGTCTTGAAAAACCAAAAAAAAGAAAAAAAGAAAAAAAAGAAAAGAAAAGAAAAGAAAGCATTTAATGAGGGTGGTTCCCTTATAGTTTCAGAGGTTCAGTCCAGAGCATGGGAGCATGGCAGCATGTAGGCAGATGAGATGCTGAATCTGCTGGCAACAGGAAGTCCACTGGCTGTGCCCCCCACAACCCTGTTCCTCCCGGCTTAGGCTGAGGAGTTCTTTGCACCCGGCTTCTGGAACCCTCCCTGTGAACTGAACCAGGCTAAGGAAGGAAACACAGGGCCAGTCCATTTATTTCCTGGATCTGACATCATCCCTCATAGGCCAGTACTTTTGCCTGAGGGAAGGAGACTTGAGGTACTCTCTGGCTCAGAAACCCTGATTAGGCCTGAGTCACTGTCTCCATGAGCTTGTGTGGGAACACTGCTTTGGACGGAAGTGTGGGTGAAGCCAGGGTTCAAAGAAAATATATAGGGGTATTGGAAGGGAGGGATCTCTGGAGACAAATTGGGGTTCCCAGATCCATGGGAAGCTGAATTTAGAGCAACCAAGGGCCCAAAGACAGCCTAACTCAGACATAAAGAAAACCCCAAACATACAAACTCCAGGCCCATTCTGTGTCTCCACAGAGCCCATTTCCAAAGGCAGGCAAGGAACAAAATGTGCCTACCCGGGGAACTGAAGGGGCAGGACTGGCTGTCCTCCCACCTGTGTGAGCAGACAGCAGAATGTCCCTGGCTGAGGAGAAGAACTAGCTGCAGGCAGGAAGAATGGCATGGGGTGAGACTCCCTCCTTCCCTGTGGTCCCTCTCTGAAGGGGACATCCTCAGCCATTCCTGTCTGGCATCATGCCTGGAACCCCTAGAGTCCTTTGTCCCCCTCCCCCAATCCCTGGTTTCCTAGACCCTTCTAGAACATTGCTTTTCAAAGCAAAGGATCCTTTACCTTACTAGCTCTAACTGGGGAACTTCAGGGTATAGGCAGGTCCCACACCCCACCCCTAGCAACCATGGCTACGGTTGGCTCATAACTAACCCATGCTAGCTTTGTGTCACTCTGCTGGTTCCAAGCATTTCAATTTTTAACTTTGAACCTTTGATTATTTTTTTTTTTTACTACTGGTGTGAGAAAGTTTTTTAAAGTGAAACCAGTGTCCTTGCCCCAAAACAATCATTCATATTCCTGCCATATATAGTGAACTGTCATTAATATTTTTTTATGTGTTTCCCTATTGAACACCGTTTTTAAAAGCATGCTACAGGCTGGAGAGATAGCTCCATTTTATAGAGCACATGCTGTTTTTTTCCAGGAGACCTGAGTTCGATTCCTGGAGCTCGCATCCAGCAGTTTACAACTGCCTGTGGCTTCAGCTCCAGGGGAATCTAATGCCTCTGGCATCTCTGTGGGCACCTGCACTCATGCTCACACTCCACCCTCTCCCCTTACACACACATAATTGAAATTAGAATAAAGTCTTTAAAAAGCATGGAGAAATGACTCAGCAGTTAAAGGGCTTGCTGCTCTTCCAGAGGACCACAGTTTGGTTCTGTGCGACTCATAACCACCCATATGTAACTGTATCTCCAATGAATTTTAATCTCTCTTCTGGCCTACATCGGTATCTGCATTCATGCGTGGACACAGACACAAACACACACACACACACACACACACACACACACACACCACACTCCTTTCCTTGCTCTGCCTTGATCTCTTCTTTCCCAGATTTCTCCTCTTCATTTTCTCTGCCTGCCAGCCCCATCTATCCTTTCTAATGACAAGCTATTGGCTGTTCTTTAAGTAGACCAAACAGGTATTTTAGACAGGAAAGTAACAGCTTTACAGAGTTAAAATGCAACATAAGGAATGCAACACATCTTGGCATCATTCAAACAAATATTCCATAGCATAAACAAATGTAACACATCTTAAAATAATATTCCACAACAGCTCAACATATACTTTATTTTTTGTACAATGTCCAAGTTCCTCAACATCCTTTTCAAAGTTGTTTTTTCTTTCTCCACTAGTTTAAAATGCCAACATTTTAACTTATTTTAATATAAGATCACATCATTCTATTCAGTTATATCAATCTGGCTGTTTCTAAGTTAGTCGGTGTTGCATTATTTTAACTATAACTTCATAATCAACAGCCACACATTTTGTTAAGCATGATGACAATTTTGTTTGCTTTCCATGGATGGGAAAACTGAATCTCAGAGTTAAAATGATTTGTCCACAGCCTGCCTCACTAAGTTCCCAAAGCAGAAAAGGTCTTCACACGGGGCCACACCTTCTCTTGTCTGCTCTTATTCCCCAACACACACACACACACACACACACACACACACACACACACTCCCTGCCACCCACAGCATGCAGTTATTGTGTGCTAGAAAATGGCCAAGGAGTCTTGTTCCTCAGCCTTGCCATTGGGATTGGAAAGGCTATGTCTACAGTGTCTCCCTCAAGAAACGCCCACTAAGCACTTAGGAACACTGGGTGGATTGGGTGGATGACCTCGTTGTCTCAACTTCAGGAGAACTAGGTCTCTGAAGGTGCTAATTTGCTTCCAGACACTTACTGCTCGGCCTGTGTGTGCTCTACACTGGGATCTAAAATATCCAGAGCCAGGAGTGTCCCCTGGGCAAGCAGGGAAGTTTTCCAGGAGGCTGTTGTTTGTTGCCATTGTCTTCCATACTTCTTAATCTTCTCACTCTTATCCCCTCCCCCCTTTGACTTGTTCCCTCAACTCTATCCTTTTTAGAAATGTGCTCTCTGTTGTGTTTTGCAGGGAAGTTTGTTAGGGAACAAAGCAACAACTCAACCCAGGAATGAGAAGTGAAGGTAAAACATTCTGACAGATATGGAAGGATCTAGAGCCCAAGCAGGTAGTCAGCAGGTACCAGTTGCTGCTGGGGCATCCTGGAGTCCTGCCTTAATGAAGAAGTGGTCTCTTCTTCCCTAGAGAGAACCCACCAATGCCAACTCCTGCAGCCATTGTGCATGCCCAGCCCAGTCCCTGATCCATCCTGTTCTTCTATGTGCTTGGTGTCATGCGGTGTGAGCCTGACTTGCCACCACCATCTACAGCTGCTACAGGAAGACCTCCTGGGCACCAAGGCC